CTCCGTACCGAAAACGTAAACAAACACTTGTCCGTGGTCGTGTTTTTGAGTGGGGTTTTCTCTGGCGAAGTTGAGGGTTTTCCAAGCTTTCTCAACTGCGCAAATGCGCTCTCTCTCTCTCTCTCTCTCTCTCTCTCCCACACATTCTCTATTTCTCTTTCTCTGGCTAAGCTTTTTGTGACGTCACAGGGACGCCGCCAAAAACGGCACTCGAGCCAAATGCCAAGGACTCCAGCTCAGTGCCGTTCGAGAATTTCGCCAAGTGAGACGTTGTTCCCCAAGTGTTTCAATAATTCTCTCTCTTTCTCACTTCCACACCCCTCTCTTTCTAACCACGCTGAGAGTGTGTGCGTGTGCGTGTGTGTGTCAATAAAAATCAACAAGAGAATGGCCAAAAAACTTTCGACCAGAACGTGTCCAACAAATTAGAAAGGCGTACAAACCAACAACAAATAAAGAAAAATCGAGGAAAAACCGACATTGACTTTAACTTGGCCACGTGGCCAGTGCACTGCTTGTTTTTCCTTCCCGAATCCAAGGTAAATTTTCCCAAAACAAACAGGACCCAGCATCGCCGCAACAACAACAAGGGAGGCAGAAAAGCGGGGAGGAAAACAATTGTATTTTTGGTGGAAAACCAGCGTCAGTAAAATTCGGTCAATATTTGTGCGAGTGTGCGTGAAAAGAGGGAAATTTTTACATTTTTTTTTTGCCATTTTTATGCCGATGTTGTTATTGCTTAGACCTGTGCCTGTGTGTGTGTGTGTGTGTGTATGTGTGAGGGTGTGTGTGTATGTCTGAATGCAAAAATAAAAGAGGAAAAAAATATCATAAGGGAAAAGTGGCAACGAGCAGGGAAAAATCTGTGTCAGTCATGAATTACGCACTATCTCAGTGGGAATTCCAAGGCACTGGGGATTTTGTGAATGAATAATCATGCTGCTTGCCATATAAAAACATATATATATTTTAAACCAATTTGCGCCTGTGCGAATCTTTATTAATTTCCGCCTGGCGTTGCCACTAATGACAACACCTGTAATTGTCGTAAGACACGACAGGCACTTGGCTCACATTATTGATGCACGGTGCAAAAAAACAGGGATTATTGAAAGGAAATAAACATTAGAAAAGTAAATTAATAAAATAAAAGAATATTTGAGGAAAATAATGCAAAGATAAGTTGACTTACTTCTCACGAGTTTTATTATTTTTTAAACATTTAAGACGCTTAAATAAAAACAAAACATATGGAAAACATCTCAATTCTAAAAAGAGGAACAAAAAATTCAAGTCAAAAAATATTTAATTTTGTTTTTTTTTACGCTTTTTCTTTGTAAATTGAAACTCCAAGCACCAAGACCTATATTTCAAGCCCACCACAAAAGTAATACAGACTTCATTGTACACTCCATGAAGTACACCATAAATTGCAGTTGTTTTTGGTCTGGGATTCTGTGTTTTTTTTTCGTCTTGTGCTTTAAGTCAAAGCCTTATGGGTCAAAAGTATGCCACCTGGTTGAATAAATCAAAAGCGGGGCCCTGTTCGCGGGGAGTAAATGTTGCACATTACGTGAAGTTCCAACGTGGCGTATACGTTATATGTTGCGTTACGCATACGCCATGTGGGTCCGACCAAAGACCACCAACAGTGCGTCATGCAATAAATCGCACGACAATAACTCACGCCGAAAACCGGAAGGCTGCGAAGACTGTTAAGGGGAGGATGGGAGGTACAGGGGGGCTATTTGGCCCAAAGAAGGGGGTAATGGCACGGAATAAGGCCGTGTTGTGACCAGGAAAGTCACAAACTGAAAGCTATTAAGGCAAAAGACTTAAAGACTTTTTGCCACCCACAAAAAGCGAGAGACTGTCTTTGCCCCATCTACCTTACAGAGCACTGTGCGTGGGTAACATACCACACACACACACACGCGCACACACCACACATACACACACGCACTTCCGTTTCCTGTCACAAGAAACAACAACGAAAACTCACTTAGCTGACTGGCACTCAGCATCTCAGCCTCAGCCTCAGCCTCTCTGTTAGCCAGACTCACTTGACATGCTCTTAATACCAAATAAAAACAAGAGCTCAAGGACACTCTGCTCCACATTTTTTTTCCTTTTTAAGCAGAACCGAGAGCCCCAAAACACCCAGCCTTCCTCCCCGCTCGTCATGTGTAAATTTTTAATGTTGCCAAGACCCCGAAATGTAGGTTATCAAATTGTGTTCAAGTTGTCTTCGCCGAAGCCCGGGGAAAAGTTTTTACAGCAACGGCAACGGCAACGGCACCGGCACGGTATCCCTCCATGGGAAAACATTTTAAATGATTTTGTTGTCGGTGGTTGTTGGATTTTTCCAGCGCTCTTGTTGTTCCAACTTTTTTGTTTTTTGTTTTGTTCTGACCCCTCTGCCAATTGGGTCAAGCATTTACATTTCACGCCTAGCGAAAATATTCAGTCAGAAGTTTTCGCGGCTGGCGAAACTATGCCAGGCTATCCTCCACCCAAAAAAAACCTCCTGGAACCTGATCCTTATCCTGCTGTGTTATACACGCTCTCAACCGCCGTCGGTAGCTGCATCTATTTAGTCAAATTAAAAACACAAATTCAACTTTGCTCTGCCGGCTGCCACTAATTAATTGCAAACTAAATGAGTTTCTCGGCATAAAACTTTATCCGCAGCAAAGCTGATTGCTGTCAGTTTGTGGCTGTTGATGGAGAGAGAAGGGGGTTTGCAGGCTGCTGCAGTCGACAACTACGAAGGGGAAATGTGGAAATGGTTTACGTGGCCCCCTTTTTCAGGAGGAGCCTAGGAGGAGTAGGAGAAGGTCGTAGACCATACACAAATTGGAATTTGCGCTGCTCACACACATTCCAGTCACTCCAACGAGGTTTTGCTGGCCAGAAAATGGAATGGCGATCCTATCGAGTCATTCAGGAAATTAGGGACTCACACAAGGGGAAAAATTATTACAAGGAATGGGTGTTATTCAATGTTCTTTTAAGGGGAAAAATACTGCTATAAATATTAGCTTGCATATACAGCAGTTCTATTCAACAGTTCTAGTGAATGTTTAAAAGATTTAAGCCAGATTTCCCTATAGCAAATGAATCTTAAATAAGTAATTAGCCCCTAAAGACAGCTTTAAGTTTAAACCTGATAAATATTCTGCAAATATCGCAGAACATAAACCAAAATATTTCCCTCTGTGCAGTAATCCCGGCTCCGTTTGAGTCATCATCAGATTATGAGTCACACAGGCAGTTGTGCAGGGAGCCATATGTCAGCTTCAGATTTGTTCGACCAACGAAGTTAGCCGCTCGGAAATTATTTGTCCGTTTGCAGTCAATCCGATTGGCAGGACTCGCAAGGACTGGCCTTAATGACCACTGCCAGGACAGATCATCGGACAGCGGCACTCACTCAGTCACCCGGCCATGGCACTGGCATTGGGCAGTGAGCCATTAAATTCTCACTTGGCGTGTGCGGTGGATGGGATTTCAATTGCTGGCTGGAATGACTGCCCGCGGCGTGAATCTGTTAATTCAACTTATTAATTTTCATTGAATTCCCTCCGGCTACCGCTGCCACTGTCACTGTCACTGTCAATGTCATTTTCTGCGGCCGCGGGGAAATTCGGGAACGCAGCTCGATGAGCTGTGGTTAGTATAATTAAGTCTCAACGAGTTATTCTGCTGAACACACAACTGCTGCATTAATTTGCATTCATTTTGCACATGCCCAAATATATATATTGAATAAATATAAAATATAAGCCTGGGTTTGGCTAAAATTCATTTATACATTTTTCATTGCCAGTTTCCGGCCAGATTTATTTTAAGCCTGGAGGAGCACGTTTATTGTATTAGGAGTGTTTTCAATAAATGCCAAATATGTTGCTTGTTATTTTTCTGAGGACGTCGTCACACACACATGGGACGCACACAAAAAGCAATTTATGAAGCACACTTCTCAGGGCAATCCACCTCCTGCCTCTCCCTGCTCTCACACACTCTTGGGGGACAGACGCACAGAGAAAACCCTAGAGTTTAATTGAATGCGAAAGGCAACTACATAAGCAGCGTCACCAGCAGACCACAAATCAAATAAGTAAAGCGAAAACAGGTCAAGTGCTCGGCCTGAACTTGCTGCAGATGCATCTGTGAGCTGGGAGCCAAGAGCAAGATGCTCCTGGACAAAGGGGAAGCACTTAGTTGGCCAACACCAGTACGCTCCTTTGACTCGTGATATGTGCACACAAATACTGGCAAACAACCTCTCCTCTCCTCTCCTCTCCTCTGCAGCTGAGTGCACATAATCTGGATCCGCCTTTGAGGCGAGGCAAACTCTATGGGGCTCCGGGGAAGAGATGCTTTCAAATCGCCACAGCGGCTAATTTGTGCAGGTCCGACACAAATTGTAACTAATTTTGCGTCCCCAACTTTCTGCTTTCATTCCGATGCAAATTGCCGGACAACCTGGACAAACTTAAAGCCCCCCAAAAAAGTTGAGTGATAAAAACGCAGTTCGCAGGCTTGTTTCGCTTGAGAGTTGACAAGCGATTTTCAGCAAACTATGTCGAAGACAGACTCGCCGAGTGCCAAGCGGAAGTTGACAAGCCCCGGTGACAGGCAAAAGTTTTCTAAGCGGAAAGTTTAGTCTTTTACACGCTTAAAGCGAAAAGAAAAATGTACAAAAAATACAAAATGGTTTTCTAAAAATCGAATTTCAATAAGCTAAAGCCTTAATGCACACTCAGGCTTTCCCGCATTATAAGGTTAAATCATTGTAAGATTTAAAGAAGTTTCCAACTTATTTTGTTCATAACTTTTGGAACAAGTTATTTCTACTTATATTTTTATTCATCTTTTATGTTGAACTGTTGAAAACACTTCCAATATTATACATTATTTTATTATATTATATTTATTATTATGTTTTGTGTTGAAATCCGGACTATTGTAAACCAAGATTTAATACATTTCCCATATTTATGATCTTTAAACATTTTTGTAAGCATATTTTTATTCGCCATGGTCCCTGTTTTGTATAATTTCTTGTAGCAAACAAAAGATTTTTCTTTAATTTAGATTACTTTAAATTTTGCTACCAAAAGATTGATTTTACATTTAGAATAGTTTAAAATTTGGCTTTTCCAAACTAAGTGCTTCGAAAAACTCTTGAAATCGTTTTGGGATTTCTGGACTCGTAAATGCGATCCAGTTTTTGGAGATACCTTTCCCGCATGACCGCATCCCTTCGCTCCCGCACCGCCATATTGTGACTGGTGAGGTCTCTCAGACGCAACGAGATCTGCTCCGTGCGCCGACGCACATGCTCGTCCATGTCGCGGGTAAAGGTCTTCTGGGCATCTTTCCAGCTGCTCGTCGTCTGTCGTTGGTGGCGATCCGTGATTAGTGCCACTCGGGCCAGCCGGACGGATAGCTTTTGGACCTTCTCCTCCTGCAACAAGCCGCGTCTCTCTTCCACCGCCTTCTGGCGCTGATCCAATTGCTGCTTCAGCTCCTTGGGCGGTGGTCGTTGGTGTTGCTTGATTCGCAAAAGACTGGGTTGCTCCTCGTTGCCAGGATCCGCAATATACTGATAGAAGGCCACGGGAGATCGGCCATTGGCTGCCTTCTCCAAGTTCTTAGGGAAACTCATAATTTGCAAAACATAAAACAAAAAGTTTTTGCAACAATTTTGACTCCAGACCGAAAGGTTAAACGAAATAAAACAAACCCTAAGCTGGCAGAGTTTACCAAGGGTTCTATCTTTACAGATTTATTACCAGCATAATTATAAAATTTAACTTGATGCTTTACAATTTTCTAATGAAATACCATAAAGTTATTGCTCAACATTCAACACTCATCTCAGGTGAAGAACATCCCAAAAAATATTTTAATTACTCTTGCCTTGTTTTCCCTCAAAATATACCAAACATTTAAATTACGAAACCATAAAAGATGAACAGCATATTTTGTGATTAAAAAAGTACAATTAAAAGGAGCAAGCATAGAGGTCGGAAAATAAAAGAAAAACACCCACACACACACAATGCTGGCAGTTAATGCAGTGTTGCCCATGGGCCACCAAAGGGTTAAGAGCACCCCATTTATCTGCGGCCTGTCTGTGTGCAACATAAATACCTATTCAACTCCACCGAACTTTGTGTGTGTGTGCGAGTGTGCTTGTGGCACACGGATGTAAAGCAAAAGTTGCTTGTTATTATTATGATTAAAGTTTCTGCTACTATAGTGTGTGCCACACACCACATTAGTGTGGCCACGCCCCAGCCAGGACTCCCAACTTTGCTCTGCTTTTTCCAGCTTTCCCTGCTTTAATATAAATGTTTGTGGTTTCGTCGTCAAGGTGCTTTGGAGGCGGCTCCTGTGGGCCCTAAGCCCCTTCACTATACGAGTGCAAGTACATATTCATATGGGTATCCAAGCTCTATCGCCTCCATTTGGTTCATGGGATATTTTTTGGGGGGGAGTATGCAAGTAAAGAAAAAACATGAAGCCAAAACATGACCGCAACATATTTTGCCGGTCATCCTTTGTTGTAGTTGGATCCTAAAGCGGATTAAACTTAAAGTATTTGCGTGGCCCCGTATGGGTTTTAGAGGGCAGCCCCTAAAACTGTGAGAGCTGGCAATTGAAGGGGCAATTTTTGGGTTGAGCATATGGCGTTGAGCAGGGCTCTATTAGCTGGGCTTAAAGGATATCTCAAAATGGCAGGACTTAATTATGAGAGGCAGAGGTGGTGGGAAAGTTAACAGTTCTATGGTTATATTTTCAAGAGCTCCACATGCGAAATACTAATTTAAAAAGAGTTTTAAGTTATATACAAACTCGATAGTGACCAATTTTTCCATGTGTCCTTTTGAGTTCAATTTCCCGCATGACTCTTTAACTTTGACTTTCCCGGTAATGAGTTATTTGTTGGTCAAAAGTGTACTTATGTAGCCGTCACCTTTGCTTTCCAACCAGTTTAAGTTACGAGTACCACACCTTCCGTTCCATCCCTCCGTATGTCCTGTCACATGCCTTGTGCTCAGTTAACAGCTGTCACTCCGCCCCCTTGAGACTCGGAGCTGTAATTTAACTTCCCTCCCGCCTCCCCCAGAAGCGGCAGCTGTAGTGACAACTGCAGCAGGAGAACTGCAAAACTGCAAACTGTGAACTGCGAACTGAGCGCCGACATGCAACGGTTGGCAAAAGATAAAAAAAGCACTGCAAACATACAGAAAACAAACCCAAAATGGAGGTTTATGGCTGGTGTTTGGCCTACATACATGCAGGCAAACTAAGGCCATTTGGGGGATTCCCAAACGAAGCTTTCAGTTTTTATGGCCATCTTTGTGTGGAGCGACCAAATTAGTTGGGTTTGCAGGAGAACAAAATCGTGTTGCATACCCAAAAGGCGCTGACTGAAAATTTTTGCATTTTTGTTTACTTGCAGGACAAACTCGTAATTGAATGGGAAATTGAAACGAAAGCAAGAGAGAGAGAGAGAGAGACAGCTTAGAGTATGTATTAAAGCCCCATTTTCTTTCCTTTGAGGGTCTACACAGAGAATACATCGAGGATAGTTCCAATTTTGAGCTACATTTTAAGATCAATCAAAGCACTAAGATTCCGAAGCATAAAATCTCTATGCTCTAACAAATTTTTTAAAAATCAAATTTGAAACTTGGAAAAGCCTCAAATCTTTCATACACAGTTTATTAGCAACAAATAAGTTATTAACAAGAAAGGAAGGTAACTTTGGCGTGCCAAAGTTTGTATACCCTTGCAGATTGAAATTCGATCACTAGGAATCAAATACAATATAAATTATATATATTTATTTTTAATATTTTATACTCGTTTAATTCTTCCATACACTGTATATTTACAGTTTACATTCACCGTTTTCCATTTTCACTATTTTTAATGATAGTTCAAGATTAACATATAATGGCTATATATCAAATTTGATGAGAATCTGTTGAAAACTGGAAAAGTTATAATATTTTTTTCTTAAAAATTTCCGATCGTTCCTATGGCAGGTATATATATGTATATATAGTCCGTCGATTCCCCATGCTCCGACTTATATAGTAGTGAAATTATATATAAGAATAACTCCATAGTTTCATTCAAATAGCTTGCTTTTAAAATCTCGCACACATGTGCTATGATTCCCAACTTGTTCTAACATCCCCGGAACGAAGTGACTGCTGCCGGCCAAGTCTCAGAAATGTGTTGTGTTACAAAAGTTGCAAGTCATTGTTTATTAGTGTTCATAGATACTTACTTGTTATTGATACTAACTGATCATAGATACTTCCTGGTCAAAGTTACTCGCTGTTCATTGATACTTACTAACAGAGCTAATTACTGATCATAGTTACTCACTGGTCATAGCTACTTACTGGTCATAGTTACTCAATGCTAATTGATACTTACTTCTGTAAGTACTTAGTTCTGTAAATCGTCCGATCGTTCCTATTGCAGCTATATATATATATGTATATAGTCCACCGATTCGCCATGCTCCGACTTATATTCTAGGTAAATTATGTAGACGAATAACTCCATAGTTTCATTAAAATAGCTTAAATTTGTTCCAAAACAAATCGCGCACATGTCGGCATATAATTCCCAAGTGGTTCAAACATCCCCGGAACGAAGTGACTGCTGCCGGCCAAGTCTCAGAAATGTGTTGTGTTACAAAAGTTGCAAGTCATTGTTTATTAGTGTTCATAGATACTTACTTGTTATTGATACTAACTGATCATAGATACTTCCTGGTCAAAGTTACTTGCTGTTCATTGATACTTACTAATCAGAGCTAATTACTGATCATAGTTACTCACTGGTCATAGCTACTTACTGGTCATAGTTACTCAAAGCTAATTGATACTTACTTCTGTAAGTACTTAGTTCTGTAAATCGTCCGATCTTTCCTATGGCAGCTATATATATGTATATATAGTCCGTCGATTCCCCATGCTCCGACTTATATAGTAGTAAAATTATATATAAGAATAACTCCATAGTTTCATTCAAATAGCTTGCTTTTAAAATATCGCACACATGCGCTATGATTCCCAACTTGTTCAAACATCCCCGGAACGAAGTGACTGCTGCCGGCCAAGTCTCAGAAATGTGTTGTGTTACAAAAGTTGCAAGTCATTGTTAATTAGTGTTCATAGATACTTCCTGGTCAAAGTTACTTGCTGTTCATTGATACTTACTAATCAGAGCTAATTACTGATCATAGTTACTCACTGGTCATAGCTACTTACTGGTCATAGTTACTCAATGCTAATTGATACTTACTTCTGTAAGTACTTAGTTCTGTAAATCGTCCGATCGTTCCTATTGCAGCTATATATATATATGTATATAGTCCACCGATTCGCCATGCTCCGACTTATATTCTAGGTAAATTATGTAGACGAATAACTCCATAGTTTCATTAAAATAGCTTAAATTTGTTCCAAAACAAATCGCGCACATGTATGCATATAATTCCCAAGTGGTTCAAACATCCCCGGAACGAAGTGACTGCTGCCAGCCAAGTCTCAGAAATGTGTTGTGTTACAAAAGTTGCAAGTCATTGTTTATTTGTGTTCAAAGTTAGTAACTGATCATACATACATACTTACTGGTGATAGATAGTTACTGATCATAGTTACTTACTGCTCATAGTTACTTAATGCTCATAGTTACTTAATTTTGAAAGATACTTATTGATCCCATATATTTAATAACTTTTTTATGGCAGTTATATTATATAGTAATACTATACTATAATAGTATTCATATTTTCATATAACTAAAAACGAAATTCTATAACAATTAAAGATTTGAATCGGAGATGACTTTTTCACTGCTTTGGAAACTTCTGATTCAAAGTATAATACCTTACAAGGGTGTATTATTATCTATTTCCGATAACTGAGTGTTCCTGCACAGACTTTAAATCCTTTCCGATGTTTCCTTAGCTCTGCGACATATGCTTTATAGGTCTTAAAAATCGTTGTGTACTTTGAGGTTTTTTAAATTACTTCAAGTTTCTGATAGTTATCCTTCCATATCGCTTAACTTATATAAATTTATGGATTAAATATATCTAGATCTCCCGCATTATATTGATTTTGTTTTATATGTTTTCTTCTCTGTGTAGTGCCAAGTCAGAATGTTTGAGCGTCGATTAGTTCAGATTTGTGGCAGTTGAGGCGCCAAGAGGAGCCACGAGACCGCTTCGTCCTTCGACCTTTGTTATCCTAGCACTCCCTTCTGTCTGTGTGTGTGCTGGTGTTAGCTTGTGTGTTCTATCTGTGTGTGTGTGTGCGAGAGGAAGTGCTGGAGTGCTGGACTGGTGGTGGCTAGCATGCAAATCAACGGTCTCGCTGCCGGACCCACGATGGCAGCCTCCGAGCCACCAGAGCCGCCGCCGCGCAATCCGGATCGCATAAATGCCTCGCTGCACAAGCTGGGCGAATCCGTAAGTACCACCATTTCGCCCCCCAGAATATCCAGAATACCCAGATACTCAGATACTCAGATACTCGCTCCCAATCTCCACCTAACTTCCGCATCCGCAAACACGATACGAAAAAATTCACCAAAAACGAATCCGCACTTGATGTTTAACCTAATTGGGACTCATTCATTGCTGGGGAACAGATTGCATGCCTCTGGTTCAGATATTCCACCATCTTCACCCCACCACTTCCCCTCTTTTTTGGTGCACCAACTTTGTACTTCTACTTGCTCGCCTGCT